CACATTCCCATATCCAATCATCAAGTGATCGAGCCAGGACCAGTACAATCCAAGTCCTTCCGAGTATTGCAGAAGATCACGGACACAGATCCCGATCAAATCGATGAGGAGCAGCTACGCAAGCTGCAATTAACGGAAGACGACAGATATCTCATGAATAAGTTCAAAGAACAAGGTAAAAGACAAACTGCACGTCGATCACGAATTCGTCCACAACATCGACTTTTGGCTTAGAATTAAAATTCTATTAATAAATCGGATTAAAGAATCAAGTGTCTGTTATCGTGATTGAAATAAATAGTGATTCGCATAATTTCATTATTAGTTGATGGCGACACGTATCTCCATAAGGAAGAAGACCCGAGATATCGCGGCGCAGCAATTCCTTCACGAGCCTTTCGTTATTTGCAGAATATGACCGACTCGGGCGATTCCGCTAATAGTAATCCGAGTATGTTATCACATAGAAAGAGCAAGCAAAATATTAATGTTACATTGTTGCATGCACTGCCTTTATTAATACACATTTATAAGCATCATATCGTTTCAGCAGCAGCTAAGACAGTAAGCCCGACAATCAAGAAACAAAATACAAATTCGAAAACCTTTGGTAAATAGTAATGTCCCCCATGTTGTTTTAACAAACGAATTGTCCTTATTATTAAAATCGTGCTATCGTTTTGTCAATGAAGCCTTATATTTTCATAAAGATTTATCTGTCGTGTATCGCTTTGCGTGTTGTGCTTGATTCCAGCTACGTGTATATGTTATAAATTTTCAATATGTGTCAGTGTGTGTGTGTGCGTGTGCGCGCGTGCGTGTAACCTTCAATAATAATTTTATTTACAGACGAAGAGGTAGTGCCTGTGACATATATACCAGCGAGTGAGCAGCAGGTACCGGAGCCAAAGAAATACATGGGTGGCGCCATACCGTCAAGGTCTTTCAAAATACTGCAAGCAATGACGGCCCCTGAGAGTATCGGTAAGTCATTTTATAGTGCGATTGATTTTTTTTTTGTTTTGTTTATTTTCTATATAATTCGATATAGCCATGAATATTGAAAATTCATTCATTAAGGATTAACAATATTATATACTCAGTCTGAATAAATGTACAGTTTATTTTTTTCTCTCTATACTAAAGCTCCTAAAAAGTTCTTTTTAACTTTGCAATCGTCATTGTTACCAATTTACTTTAGCAATAGGTACAGCGATATTTTTTGGTTTATAATAATACAAAATAAAAGAACGACTAAAGTGCTATTCCTATTTTGTAGAATCCATAAAAAGTTTAATAATATTGCCCTGTGTTCACAGGAAAAACTATTGGGATCATTTGACAAAATAATCTCAACTATATATTAGATATTTTTTTCTACTATCAGGGTGTTGAATTTTTTTTTCTTTTCTTTTTTTTTTTTTTTGTTAACACAAAGAAAAATTTCGCTAGACTTTACGATGGTCTTTCATATGGTCGCGGAAATTTAAAAAATAGATTTTATATAATTGAATGAGTGTTGCATGCCATTATTATTCTAGAATGCGTCTTCATTGATACATGATAGCTCTATAATAAGATTTTTTATTATGGTTCATTGCGCAACCTGCATGCGATAGAGAATTTAAAAGACTAATTTCCTGTATATTCTTTTAGTAATTTGAAAATTTGTTAAGATTTAGTTAATTAATACTGCTTTCATCGACATTTCATTGGAATTACAACAATTGCGGTACTAAACCACATGCAATAATTTCTTTTCGCTACAAGAATTTCCTTTGAACACAGGATAAAGCGTTTCTGTCGGTTGTCATATCAACAATAATCCTGTAAAAATAGTATAAAATCTACATGTTTTTGAACGTCAATTTTATATCGAATTTTTATGTCTCTCCATCTTTGTTATATTCATATTTACATTATCTGAATTTTCATCATTTTCGTTCTTTTCTTAACAATTTTAATGTTCTTAATTTGCGATTATTCAAAATAAACATCTTGTCAGAAGTATAATAAATTTTTAAAATATCAGAGCGAAGTGCATTAAAAAAATAATATCAGAGTATAATAAAAATGTTTTGATCGTGGGCGCGATAGAAGATGGAAGTCTTTTATATTAACACAGCGAAGTGCAATAATAAGAAATATATTTAATAATAATAATAACAACAACTGCAGTAATAATACATAATGTCAATTTACAACATTACCAACAATAACGACGACGACGACAACGACAATAACATTAATAATAATTATTATAACAACGACAACAGCAACAACAACAGCAGAAATAACAGCAATAATAATAACAATTTATAATAATAGCAAGAAATAACAACAACAACAACAACAACAACAATAACAATAACAATCATAATAATAATAGTAAGAAGATGAATTAGAAATGGGGCCTAATTTGAACAATAATAACCTCAAAGAAATGAATGAGGTCAATCGATTTGTTTCTGAACGGAATGTGCTGTTTGTTATAGTCACGTAAGTGATGCAAGAGAATCGACAACATTCGGCCACAGATTTTCTTAATTTGCTGGGAAATTAGTAAGGTGTTTATTAAGCCGCTTAATCTCACCTCACCTCACCTATTCTCTCCTTTCATATTCCGGAATCCTGATACCGATTGCTGAGCACACATCACCATCCAACGACCCCTTACGTAATACACGAATCCCATAATTATCCAAATTATCATCCCAATGATCATCAACATCTTCGTCATAATATGAATGATATCACATACGTCCGCCACGATCATCGACAATGATAATAATTAATTTGGCCCATAATTTCCACTTCATAATGATTCGCGCGCCTCCGGTCTCAGGAGAATAGCAACAACGAGTGCGCAGCTGCCCTTTGTGGTAAACTCCTTAGTAGGAATTCTGATCTTTATGCAGGATCTCAATGGAGACAAAACTTATTGGTTACACCAACGAGCTGTGCGATCTCGACGACTGAGCCATTCGACAAATACACCCAAGACCTACTACTCGCTTCTTCTATCCCTCTGTCCTCTTTGCCATCAGGAAATCATTCTGGGAGTGAAGAGGACGTAGGACCAGATCGTGGCTCAAAGAATCATAAGGATAAAGAACGAGACATCTCCGCTAAATTCTTTGCTCGTAGTAATGATTACGAATCTTATATAGCTTATTCAACCGAAAAGTATCCGTTAAATAAACAATTACACACGAGAACATTGGGTAATGTTAACAATGGAGAATATGATAGAAAAAAAGTCGAACTGGTGGATGATCATAAAGACATTGGTATAGGAGGAATGAATGATGAAGAAAAAACAGAAGACAAGGGGGAAAAGGAGGAAGAAAATAAAGAAAAAGATAAAGAAGATGAAGAAGAAGACGAACATTGCAGTGAAAATAACGTTGAAAGATGCCGGTGGATCGATCGGGAAAATAATATTGATAATACGACGGTTAATGTCAGCTTGCCTCTTAGGCCAAAATATTCAGTGTCAGAGAAAAACGAAGATACGACGACAGTTATCGTCGGGGACAGCGCCATCGTCGCAAATGTTGACACGTGCGTCGATTTTACCTTCAAAAAGCTCAGTCGTCCAATAAAAGATGAAGATCGGCTAATTGGAGAAGGAGCTCGGATTAAGCCGACTTTCATTGTAACAGCCACTGACGAAGATCAATCGGATGTAACTGAGCCAGCAGACGCAACTTACTCATCGTATTCGACTGTCCAGGATAAAAGCCAGACATTACTGAGCGTTCGCAATCACTCGAGGGAAGAAATAACCGACGACGACGACAGCGGCGTTACTTCCGACATGAGTCGCATCATATCCGAGGCAGACACCGACTCCGAATGCTGTCCAGTGGCGGTGGATGCGCTGCCCCCATCGAGGCTCGAAAGCGCTCCAACGCTCAGAAGGAGCCTCAACAAGTATCACCGCACGCAAACACATTCCCGGCTGTTCAGGTTGCTGAACGAGGAGCAGCTTCAGGGCTCGGGGGGCCAGGACGAACACTCATCGAACTCGAGCGGGCCGAGCTCACCGGACGGCAGTCGCCCGCATGACTCAGCCTCCCTCCGCACCGCCAGGCAGCGATTACCTACCCGACCCAAATCCCTCGACTGCGAGGCTCTACTTAAACGTCGTCAGAATTGTGAGCAAGACAACTACTACAGGACCTGGAAGAACGGCAGTGGCGGCGGCGGCAGCGGCGGCGGCGGCGGCGGCGGCAACGGCAGCGGCGGCAGCGGCAGCGGCGGTGGCAGTGGCAGCGACGGCAGGAGGAGTCCCCAGTGTACATATCCCCGCGTCCGCGTGCACTGCCCACGCATTAGGAGTGCTAAGAACTTAGTCCTGGCAACGAGAGGCCACCCGCAGCAATCCCCCGCAAAATCCTCACTCGGATTCACGCCGAAATCCCCGAGCATCCTGAGTTCCATGGGGGCGGTCAGGCGTTGCTGAATGGGAGCGCTCCGGTGCAGACGAGCGACGACCCGGCGCCGCTCGATTACCGCGTTGCTGGGAGCTCGCGCACGCTAGGATCCCCCGGGGTCCGTTCGCCGGACGAGAAAGAGAGCGAGCGAGAGAGCGCGTTTGAGAGAAAGAGAGAAATGAGCGAGCCCGCGCGCGCCCAACAACCACGTCTTATCTTCTTCTCTGTCGATCTGCTAGCGTCCCTCAATTACCAATGGATTCACAAACACACACAGAGCCGAGACATGTCTTTTTTATTCCTATTGGTACTTATGACCATTAATTTTTTTTTCTTTTTATGATAGTATTTTATCTACGTTTTTTCTCTTTCTCTCTACCTTTTTTATTTACGTTTAAACTTCTTCATTGATTCCCAGTCAGATTCAATATATATATATATATATATATATATATATATATGTATGTATGTATGTATGCATGCACGTACATATTTATATGCATATGTATATATATGTGTGTGTGTGTATATATATATGTATTATATGCGTGTATGCGTGAGAGTGCGTGCTCGTATATGGTCGGATAACAGATGAATAATTTTCATTGAATTTTCTTTATTATATTCTATATTTGTAAAAGTCTTGTTATTTAAAATGGCTGTGATTTATATTAGAATTACATTAATAATTATGTATTTATTTCTTTATTTTTATTGTTTACTCTAATACTTATATTTCAGAAAATTAAAATTGGACAACTTCTATATACGATCACATGCGACTGTATTATAAAAATGTTAGCAATGAAATCAAATTGAGTTATGAATATTTTTGGTGCTAAATTCACGTGCTCAATTCAAAATTGATATTGAAATTTTAGCACCGACATTTTTTAATACTTTCGCTTCTCTTTTAATGAGAGATTTCATACTAATATTTTTATACTTACGAGTTTATATGAACTCTTTTTGCTCGGATGTTTGTTCCTTCTACATGTTCCAGCTGCCATATATTTAAATACATTGGATATATGGAGCTGAATTTAGCCATTGATTATAATGTTGGATTATGTTTCTTTTTTACTATGCAGATATGAAATATTGCAAGTAAGCGTCGACAGAAACCGAAAGGTCGATTCTCTTTATTATACGGATTCGAATGGGTTGTCTTGTCGAAAAGTTTTACAAAGCTTGTTTGTTTGCATTTACTCTACGCCACTTAACAAAAGCATTTTAATAACATATTTATTGTATGTACTTAAGCTGTTGCGCCAACCTCTATTTATTCTTTAACTATACACAGCAATTAAAATCTAACATTAAACAATTATATTATTTATCTTATCTATTTGCTCTTTGGTTCTTTTAATTTTCGTGTAGCGTTTAAAAACTTCACTATTTAGCTTCCAATCAATGCTTCCACTGCATTAAGAGAATTTTTTTTTTTTTTATATCTGTTTTTAAATGACTATTATTATCATTATTATTTTACAAAAAATCTGAAATATTATAAAAAATAATTAAATCAATGTTCTGTAATACCTACGTATGAGTAATATAATTGATGAAATTTAGTTTAAATATATAAATTTTCCTCGGAGAATTGGATGGAGAATTCAATTTTTAAATTAAAATAGTTACATTTTTATTTTTATTATCTTCATTGTGCATGGCCAATTCACTTCGAGCTAAAAAGTGTTCAAATATCAACGATGATTGCACGCTTAAGTATTTTATTTCCGACTTTTGACACTCACAGATTTTTAATTTATTTTTAATTAATGTTCGATCCCTGTGTGCATACATGCAAATACGTATGCATGCTTGTATCTGAGATTTGCGTATGTGTGCTTGCATTGATCTATGCAAGCATGAGTGCACGAACACGTTGTGTATATGTGTAATTTTATATTTATATATATATAAGACTTATAGATCGCAATATGGATTTTACAAGAAACCGTAAAGTTTTAAATATATATTATTATCATTGTTCTATAACACCCGATACTTGCGTGATCGAATATAAAAATTTTGGTTTTTCTTGTCAAAACAATGATTTTTATGTGATATCTTTTGTCTAAACATAATTAATAATGAAAATAATTTCTCTTAATATTTGCAGGTCCTGATGTTACAGATTATTAAACTGAGAAATAAAAAGTTTGAAGGGACAGTGGACTGGTTAGCGCGTTTCTTCTCGTTTCAATGGAACTTTTAACTTATCAATCTTTCTATCATCATTTCTGGAATATTTATTGTTAGTATATAAACAAACTTATAATTTGTAAAAATGTAATATCCCAGCCGACATTCAGCGGCTTCGGTTTTATTTCTCTTTATAGATCTATCTTATAATCTAATTTTTGTACGAAAATATTTTACGTTGTATCGAGAATAGTAATAATTCAACAGTATGTACAATAGTAAAATCGCGCTTATATTTAAAGAATTATTGTACATTTATATACTATACATTCTAAGAACTTGACAAAGTGACGCTTTCAATGTATTTTTCTCTAATATATAATTTTTGTTTTCATTTTTATTTTGTTTAATAAAAACTCGAAATATTATTTACTCGTGAAGTTGCGTGGAGAAATAACTAGATATGCAATACTCGTCAATCCACAATGCATATATTATTAATAAAAATATCCTTAAGTATCGTCGATTTTACACTCGAGCTTTGTAAAATGATGACATCGCCAGGCATTGTTAAAATATAAAAATTTATACGTTGATTTATGTAATATTACGAAATTAAGCAATGTGCAATAAAAAATGAGATAATCTCCTATGATAATTTGTTTAATGATTGTTTAATAATTTTTATTATTATTACTATATGTTTAGTATTACTATAATTATGTATTATCTAATGCTTGTTCAGATTGTGCAAAATAAATCGTTAGAAAATTTATGTAAGAAATGTTTTTTTTGTTTTTAAACTCTATCTTAAAATATATTTCTATCATATATTTATATATGAACCTTTTCGGCATATAATTTCAAAGTCTTTCAATAATTTTCTATCCAAATAATAGTTTCCGTTTCTAATAGCAAATATTTATTATATATTATAGAATATTAAATTTATTATCTTATAAAAAATTGTTTAATAATAATAATAATAATAATAATAATAATAATAATAACAACAACAACAACATCAACAACAACAACAACAACAATAATAATAATAATCATAATAATCATAATAATAATAGTAATAATATATCAAAAGTTCCTTTAAATTAATTAAGGATCATATGAGTAAAAATGAAATATTTTAACATTTTGTAATTTTTTTTCATCGTGTACATTATATTTGAGTATAATAGGTTTTATTACATCTGATTCATAATAGAAAAGTTCTTATTTTCTTATATTACGAAGTAACGATGTAAGAATAAATTCATTCACGACAGTTATGTTATTAGTCGAATAATTTACAATATAATATAATTGTTAAAAAAAGTCCAAGAATATCATATTTAATATAAGTCTTCTTTTATAAATAAATGCATTTTTATAATATTTCAGATGTTATTTTTCAGTTCATAAAAATGTAGATACATATACAATAAAAATTTTTGCTGAAAATCTAGAAATTGAAAGGTTACGTTATCTACACACTCTATTCACTAGTCATTTTTATACATCAATTCTTTACAGGAATTCATTTTTTATACAATAAAAGTCTGAAATGTCTGTTTCCGGGCTCAGAGCTGACGCTTTCGACTTTAACATGCACTTGAGCTATCCGAATCTCGTAAAAGTCCCAGCCGCATACCCACTTTCTGAGTAAAAGCCTGGATCTCAAGATGTTCTTCTGGTAAAATCAGAGTCCTATTATAAGTTGTTAAATTATCAATTTTATAGCACAACCTGTATGTACTTCATGCAAGCTGCTTCATTGAAAAAATAAAGAATAATTTAGTAAGAGCTTTACGCGGAGAATACGTATTCAAAATGTGCGTTAGTCTTTAAAACATACGTGTTTCTCTTTTAAGCAATTTATATTCATTATTAATTGGCTTTTGATCGATTATTTGGATAATTATTATCTACTTTCTGCTTTATAACGCCGACCACATAGAATTTTAATGCCAATGTGGTACATACATTCATAATATAAGTCAAGTAGTTAACGTATCAATTTTATTAAACGTGCATTTTTCATTTAATGTTTCTTAATTCTTTGCGCTATAATATAAATATGTAAATGAAGAATGTCGTGGTAATGTGTAATATTAAATAATTCCTTATCAAACAGCACGATTAATTAATTGGTACGTGTGTGTATATTTGACACCGAGGCTATTAAATGCTTTTAAGATAAGCTTTTTTGTTTAGATATTTGAATTTTTAAACAGTTATTTTGATGAAAGTATTAAGAATATTTAGATCATTTACATTATTAACGAATACCTGTTATAAAGTCTTCTTAAATTCTATTCGAATAGTATCATCGTTGAATAATATAAATTATTTTCCAGTGAACGAACTCCAGTTTCATTAAATTTTCGTGAATATTTGTAAAAAAAATACCTATCTTATTAGGATTTTGCTTATTTAATCTTTGCAATGTATAACTATATCTCGTGTATTTAAAATGTGAATGTTCTAAAAACTGCTCAACAGCAATACGTACCATCTTCTGAAAAAGAGTTAGGCTTTTATGATGCTAATACTCATTAATAGGAATTGTAACAACGATCCAAGCTGCTCGATTAAATCAATTAAACCAATCCTCGTAAAAGCTTTATAATTAAGACTGCAAGGTCGAAGTCGCTATTTAGAATTCAACGGGTTTTATTCAATATAACTTGGGAGTATCTAAGAAATCCTCGACATTTTACGACTTTGTCAGTACTTTTATCAGTCTCTAAGTAATAAATGTCTAATGACGTACAAAAATATGCTGAACGTGACGTAACAAACGCTATATCAACAATGAATTTTTTCTTATTTTTAAAAATTCTCTTAAAACACAGTGTATGATAAAATTAATAAAATTTTAGATGTTACTATATTTATTGGATTATTAAGGAAGATGCTTTTTAATAATTCGCCTGTAAACAGATTTTCTTGCAAAAATAAAAATAAAAATAAAATTATATTTCGTATGCATATAAATACAAGTACTATTTAACATGTAAGTGGATATCTTTGCCATAAATTGTTCACAATTATAAAAATTATCTAAATGAGTTGCATAAGTGATACCACCCCGAATTTAAACAATGGAGCCATACTTATTTACTCATCTCTTTAAGTAATTTACTAAGAATATTCAATATTTATTATAACAAATAAATAAAAAAATAACTCAAAATTTAATTAAAGCTTAGAAAATAAAATTAGTTTAATCTATTTATATATATTTAGCTAATATTGTGTTCCAAAATCAGCAATTTAAATTTATATCTACAATACCGAGCCCTTTTAGTGTATTGTCTAAGTATACTTTTGTGCATAAATAATAAAACCATATATTTATTGATTGATTGAGAATAATAAAAATACAAATAATACAATTTTAAAAATGATTAATGAAAAAACAAGATCTTAGTAATTTATACAAAAATGAAAAAACATTTGTTAACCGTGTTATAAGCGATATAAATTTCATAATAAATGATAAATAATAAATTTTCAACTCATACTTTATTACAAATAAAGTGTCTTTGTAATAATTACTATGACCCGCGTTCAATGAATGAAGGTACTATTATTTTTATATATTTTTGTAAAGAACAAACTATTATAAATATCATAAAATTGAACGTAACATAATTCATATTACTGAACTAAATAGAACTAAAGAAAAATTTAGTATTAAAGAAATACTTTCTTTAATAGACTAACTTGTTTTATCTGCGTGCATGATACAGTGTATTATTACACCACACGCGCGCGCGCGCACAATATAAATATTTAATTATTATATATTAATATAATAATAGTAATAAATATGGAATCAAAAATATTTATTCGTAATAGGCCGTTATTATTTTTAATATCCATAAAAGCGTGTATATTTCGTGCCATTACTTAATTAAAATCTTACGTTAATTAAAAAAAAATAATTATCAAATAATTCGACTAATAAATAATAGTTAATAAGTTATCTGAAAATTCTGTTAACTTTAGGATTAACTGTATCGATTAATTATAAAAAAAGTAATATGTTATATATTATATATTTAGAGGCAAAATATTTTTCAATCACGTTTTAACAAAAATTCATTGGAAAATATTTTTTATAAGCAAAAAAGGAAGTATTATTTTATTTATCTTTTCTTTTACCGTTATGGTTTCATTGAGAGAAATATTTGTTTTCTTGTATATTTTAAAGAATAATTATCGCCATTAATTATATAGTAAATAATCATTTCAAGTGATAATTTATTATCACCATTAATTAGAATTTAATTACATTAGATATATAGTAATAAAATTGATTATTTTAATGTGAATTAAATATCTAGAATTACAAATTCCTACGGCACATTTAAAAAAAAATGTAAAAAATGAAAAATCTTATGCTTTATAAAATTAAATATTTCATGAACAGAATGCATTCTTCATTGATAAATATTAGAATTTTGAGAATTGAAATGTAGTACATTAAATATATGCAGTTGGACGTGATAAAATATTTTATGAAATATGTACAAATTAAAAATTTAATTGTTTTATTAGTCAATAATTTTTGTTTAACTTATTCTACAATTTATACAAAAAATATTATTTAATAGTTAAAGAGAATAATGTCTGACTTTTCTTTGATTTTAATTTAAAAAGTGAATTTCAATTTAAATACAAAACCTAAATTGTAATTTCTTTTAAGTTAGTGATACGATTTTATTAACTTGTAATATTAAACAATAATATAACTATTAATATCATTACATATTAAATTTCGAATATTAAGGTTATCTTACCATTGAACAAATTTATATATTTTTTTATACTTATATTACAAATTGCAAAAAAATCTAAATAAAAATTTTTTTTATTCAAAATTGTTTAGGAAGAAATAATCAAAGAAAATTCCATAACATAAGCATTAATATGTAAAAGATAATAATAAGTAACTCAAGTAACTTATGTAATGGCCATCATTTTTATTAAAATTACACGAATTTTAAATTTTTTATATTCGTTGATATGCTTGAAATTATAGAAAAATTTATTATACCTGAAAAATAAATAGATATTAAATTTAACTTTATTAAAATTATTTAATTTGTTATAATCTATTCTAAACATCGACTCTTTTAGTACTTTTTTTTTTAATAAACAAATATATCGACTTGAAGCAAAAAAACATGCAAAAAATGCAAAAAAACATTTTTAATTAAATAAAGCAATAATTAAGAAAATTATTTTTATTTCGTTAATTACAAAATTTACTGTGTAGTTAAAGATTCTTTATTTCTTATTTGTTTGGTTTTGCAATATTTACCTTCAGGATAGAAATTTGAAATTGGAATATGCGTGCATATTACAGTACTTTGTAGTATCTGAAATTTCTTGAAAATAACTCATGATATTATAGTATTTATAATAGTTGTTTTTACAATGTCAATGCCAATTGAAGCAAGGAAGGTAAGGATGTTTTATGTATATTATTTCACTTTAAAAAAATGTAATTTTTGAATGGTATAAAACATAATAATGTAAGATAACCTCAAACAACTCTTACGATTAAATGGTTTGTACAAAAGTATTTTAAATAATGTTTATAACTTATTACAGAGATTATATTATCTACCAAAAGTTACACGTTGGACAAAAGGTATCGGTGCAGCATTGCCGGAAGAATATAAAAAATTTTGGAAGGAATGGAAAATACAAATGCCTTCTCCAGTGTATTATATTCCAAAAAAAGGCAAATATGAACGAATGCCAGATGGGACAGTGTAAATAAATAATTCTTTTTCAGTTTTTTGTTTATTTTAAAATGTCAGATTATAAACAATTTAATTATGCTATTCTTTAAAAGTACTGACATGTACTTAAACTTGTTTCTTTAATATTTCTAACATTATTTTACATTATAACATTATAACATGCTTATTGTTAATGAGGATTTATATTTTGAATATTAAAAACAAAATTTTATATGTAACTATAAGGATGAATTTTGTTTAGCTCAAGCGTAGAAGTTCATTGATTATTAAGAAATTATATTTGTTCACATTATCTTAAAACCATTCTAACTATTAATAAAAAATTGAATGTTACAATGATTTAGAAAACCAATACAAAATATACCAATTCCATTAAAATATCCAAAAGAACTTGATAATGGTATTTGGGGCGGAGAGGCAGTAATTCAAGGATTTGTTAAGAAACATAAGTATCATCAAAGATTTGTACGTTATTGGGTTCCCAATTTAATAAAATCAGTTGTATACAGTGAAATACTTAATAAATACATGAGAACAATTGTAACAAATCGTACGTTAGATCTAATACATGAGCACTATGGATTCGACCATTATATATTAAAGGTAATGTCGAGAGAAATAATTTAAAGCTACTATTGCAAATGTATAACTCTGCGAATATAATAATTTCTATTTCCTTAGACACCGGCATGTGATTTGCGATCTTTACTCGCTCTTAGATTGAAACGTTTCATGCTCATAAGTCTTGCTGATAAAACATTATATCCTGATGATCCCGTTAAAAGAGATGAAGTTTATGCTAAATATGAACAATATTTATCATCCGTTAGTTATTAAATATTATTTAATTTCAATTATTGTGTCTAAAACTATTGCACTAACTTTATTATATTGTGTTATTTATAGTATACTAGAGAAGAAATTGAATGGTATGGATTATCCTATCCAGAAGCATGTAAAAAATTCAGAAATAATGCATTGGTGAATATGAAAATTACGCCATTAAAAGAAATATATAGGCAAGAATTAATTAACGAGCTTAAAGAAGAAAAATTAAAATTAAGTGAAAGCAGCGAAGAAAGGTTTGTTAATGCTTAAACTATAGCTTAGATTAGATACTCAATAAATTTTTATTTTTTCAGTGGTCCTACAAAATGGATATCTAAAATCAATCCTTTTCATAAATATTCAAAAGATGTACCAAAATCTTAAATAAGATAATATATTGTAAACGAATGAAAAAATTGTAGTGAAAGCTAATATATATAGAAAATACGTGTTACATAGTAAAAATATATGAATTTATTATATAATTTTATGTATACATATTTTATTACTAAAAACTTAGTAATTCACTGTAATAGGATGGCAAACTTAGCATTAAAGTCTTTTTAATAAGAAAATTAATTGTATCACTAAATAGTAAATAATATATTAAATCTTTACTAATATTAAGGTCATTAAGATATCGAACACTCCGAATCGCCGTCTTTTGGTAAACATTTTAATAGACTAGCAACAGCTCTAGTTATATAAGTCATAGTTCCAAAGCTTCCACTTGGGGCTGAGTCATAAAAATGTTGACAAACATACGCAGCTCCTCCACAGACTAACGTACCCATTACCGTTATTTCTCGAAGTTCTTTTGGTTTTGCACAACAAAGTGTCGCGTCCCCGTCAATTTTTATCTAAACACACACACACACACACACACATCAAATCATGAATAAACAAGAATGTGGTAAATTAGTAACTAATTATATATTGCGGACGTCATTGCAACAAACCTGGTCTTCTAAAAATATAGAATTTGCTTTATGTACTAAATGTTCGACGGCTATCAAACCACCTAGAGAAGAGACCATGTTATATTCCGTAAAAAGTGTTAACACCATCAATGCTTCGACAACAAGCTGTCGATATTCTGGCTGCGGTATGGTATTTAAAACAGTCTCTACAGCTAATGCGAATTTCAGTTCTCCAGGTGTCATTTCCTGAGTCAAATGTTGTGGGAGAATTCGACCTTCGATTACTAAGCCTTGAGACTGAAAATTAATTTCATAAGTTTCGGAACGTCAACTATCTAATTACTTTAATAATTATCAGTAAATTTAATTGCAATTACGTTGAAAGTGAATATTTAAATACGAAGCGGGAGAATAAATTTTATAGAAAATAAGTAAATAAAAGATTTTTTCCCGTACTCTTTCAAGAACATGCCAAACTTGAGAATAGAAATCTCGCGGTACACGATTTAAGGCTCCATCTAATCGCCTTCTCCTTAACCATTGTCCTTGTCGATCAGGCTCCATTTCTACATTCTCTTGGTCCGAATTAAGGAAGTCGCCAATTTGTGATTTCTAGGTAATATGAATTTCAATAATATTATATGCAGTCAATATTAAAATTAATGTTTCGTTTTCAATTGTTTGACGTAAGAATTGAAGAGAATAAGTTCAGTCATTTTGCAGTTGTGGGACCATTGCCACTGTCGCCTCATTGACTTTGCAATTAATTTTTTCAATAAAAATAATTACATACGTTAAGAATTCTTGGTAATTATGGAAAATATCAAAGATTTACCTTGCTAACTCGATTTGATTTACAGTTGACAATTGAAAAGTTACCACGACCAACTGAAAGAATTATTATATAATTAATAGTAATAATGTAGCGATCACAATGCGCTGAGATATATAAATAATAATTAAAAAAAAAAAAAAAGAAAAAGAAAAAATTCATCAAATTTTCGTGGATTTTTTTTAGCAAACTAAACAAGGGTGAATTAAGATAGTAAATTATTATTAATTATTTTCCATCAAAACACGTATTGTTTTTTTATGGTCTTGTTTTCTTGCAAATATTGCTATACAAAAGAAGAAAACTTAATTTAATAATATGGAATCGAGTTTAATTTAAAGATCGCATTTTCTTCCGAAGAGATAAAGCAGTTATCCAAATTTAATTAGACGAGGTTAAATTTAAGACAAAAATAGAATTGGCTAAGTCGAGACCAGCAAAGCTCTCCTGGAATCGAGAATAGCTTACCGCTGCTAATGGCGAACTCTTTGCCACTCATAATGTGATGCAGCAAATTCTTCATCTCGAAAGGTGAGAGATTAAGAAGATGTTCAGAGGCCTCCTCACCACTGCACATAAGTGTTCTCGAGAGTTCCGTGGCCATGACCTGAATGATAAGCCCGACTCTCAGCCGCAACATTTCGTGGAACAGCCGTGGCTCGGTCCTTATGAACATGGCGAGGTAAACCAGGAGCTCCTGAGTGAGCATCGCCGTAGACTCGTCGTCGCCGTATGCCTCGTGGATGAGGGAGCGCAACTCATTCTCCGGTAAAGGGGCGACGATTGTATGCTCGTTGGCCGGTGGCATGCCAACAGTCACCTGCTTCTGTCGTACCAGCAGATCTGTAACCGCCTTCGCCAGATCCTCGACCCGCTTGCCGAGCATACCCGCGGTGTGACGCACTATGCCCCACATTTTCTGTTGACACGCCTTCTCGTAGAGGTCCTTCAGAAGATCCTTTACAAGAACCGGATACTTGTTCCGTATCATGCCCGTATTGAAATATAGACCATGAGTGTCCACCTGCGAAGTGGTAGTCCTTTTTGCTTTATAGCTTCGATTTATTATCATACCTGCTTTCTGTGTATTATATGTCCCGTCAATGCAAATCGTTAAGCTCACGGCCTTTGTCGCTCATTACGGAGTATTCAAGTTAACAAAACTTTTTAGGCTTTTATAAACAACAATATTCATTTTACGTTTCGTTTTTTTTTTTTTTTTTTTTTTTTTTTTTTTTTTTTTACACAAGTTCTATTTGCCTCGGAGCTTTTTCTCCCACTCGCTATCGCTTTATAGCTTTAAAACTACTACTTTTTATATTACACGTTTCAACATTTTCAAATGTTTAGCCACGACCCCCAAGACAATTGTAAAATATATAAATATATATAATGTGTATGTATAATGTATTATATATATATATATATAGAGAGAGAGAGAGAGAGAGATTTTCCTCTATAGGATTCGGTTAAACGTGTTTCAATCATTCTATTCATTCACAATTTTGCACGTTAAATTATTTAATATTATGTAATATTTATATTAAGATAATGCTTTATCCGTTGCTGAGCCATTATTATTAGACATTTTAATTATATACAATACTCTACCATACCATCACTGTTTTGATTGTTTAAACATTAATACATTTCTTATATCTTGATGATTGTATGTCTCATAAATGGTTTGCAAAGATCAATCAAATATCACTTGAAAAAATGGAATCAAGTGAAATTTTACTCATGATTGTGAATTTTCAAATGAAAAAATATCCGAAATTTATTGCTTACCAAATATTGTAAAATATCTCCTTGTTCTTCTAAACTTTCGGTTTCTCTTATCATAGCCATTAGTTCTTCGACTTCGGTATCCGCATATTGCGTTTCTGAGTTCAGCCTATGTCTAGTTGGTTTTGGCGAATGAGTTTTCCACGATAACGTATCATCGGTTGACGAATGAGTATGCTCGAATATTTTATTCTCTGTCGTAGGCGACTGCAACGCAGTATCATTGGTTTTAATAAATGGATTAACTTGAACAACAATGGAGGATCTTCGATCTTCTCCAGCCATACCCAGAATTTCGGCTATAATTTCATTGTAAATATTACTTTAAACGTTGACCATTTTGATACTATGATATTATTTTTATACTATTTGAATTGGCCATATTTATGTAATTTATACAAAATTGTTATTAAATGAAACATTATGTAAGCGTGATATTAGGCTCGAACATCTCAAGTACCATTGGGATTTCTGACGATCTATGATGGATTAGTATCAATTTCATTTTATAAGCCATTCCAAGTGCCATACAAATAAATACACTGTCATATTAATCGTTAACATACACTTTAAAAGTTTTATTTCTGCATTATACGTACGCTCAACCGCTATCGATCTTGTTTTCTTAATTGCACCTTTTACAGACATTCTTCGCTTTATGCTTTTTCTATTATGAGTTATCGGACGATTTAATAAGTTTATAGGCAATAGCAAAGACTTCAATAAATTCTCTCCTAAATATCGTCGTACCTTGAAAATTTTATTCACATTTTCGTAAAACTATTGTATGGAAATTATAATCGACAAAATAATGTTCAAATGGTACGTGCAAACCTCTGGATTCAATTTGTCCGGTCGGCCATCTTCGGCACAGCCAAGAAAGCTAAGATTAGTGATGCATGAAGTGCTTAAAAAATCATTCAAATTTCCTAACGACACACGAGTTCCATTAATATAGCCGCTTTTTAGTTTTTTCATAGTCGTAATCATTGCCAATGGAATTTTTCCTTGATCTAAAATAAATTGACAAATCACAAATTCACGTTCATGTTAAAGCAACTGCATATGGGTAATGCCATAAATCAATACAATATTACAGCGATTAATGCAAATATAATATTACAATGGGGGATTTCAAAATGCTTGCAAGAGAAATCTAAAATAGCTAGTAGGAAATAAAACATTAATTCTATCGGGTTCGAATTTTTCGGAATATATAACAATCGTGAATTATTATAACACGCGCATTATTCGCCAAAGAGAAAGCAATTTGTTAAAGTGATTTCAATGAAAGCTCTTGATAGCAAACAGCATACCTAGGAAATTATTAGTTGCAACTAGTGTTACCGTTGGTCTACCGAGCATTTGTTTCCAATTGATGGTAAGAAAAGCCAAGTTAGTCGTGAATGTATTGGCAAGAAAGTCTGCATCATTAGACGTATAGTAGTCCTTGACATCAATGTTCTAATACATGCAACAACACACATATAAAACAAAATGGATTACGATAATGATTGTTCTGTAAATAAGACGTCGGTCAACTTGAACGTGCCTGCCTTCGTTTTCATAATTCTCACCATTAAATATTTCTTTAATGGCACCTTCTCATACCGTTATTTTTCACTCTATCTTTTTACGATGACAATTTTGTTATTATGCGCACACGCTCAATATACATTGAAGACCAATCTCAAGCTGTACTTCTATCGTAACGTTGTATTATTTTTTTTTAATTATTCTCGAATTAATAGATTATAAAATAAAGATAAAAACATACGCGTGCTGATTAATAATAAATACTCCATATTCATATCGGTTTGTGTAGAGACGTCGATCGATAAATTATATAAAAGATGGTACTTAAAAGTTATAGGCTCATGATTTGACAGGCTTAATTCTAGATTAATTCTAATTGGAATAGAATAATTTTCATAATTTCAAAAATTTTCTTCCTTATATATATATTGAGAAATATATTAATAAACAATAGAACACAGTCGATATAATTGGTTTCAACATAAATAAAATGAAAACCACACTTTTATGTCTTTTAGATGTTACTTTACTGTACCTAGATGAAAACTCTTGAGGGACATGACGACAAGTGGGCGGCCTAACATATTCTGCCAGCTAGATTTTAAAAAATTAATTTCCCCTTTGAATATGTCAATCATAAGTTCATAGTCCGAAGCGACGTAGAAGCGGGTCATATCTGTTAGCTAAATTTCACGCAAGAAGAATTAAATAATACATAAGATTAAGACTTCAGCGGTTTTAAAAGTAACGGATTTTAAGAGAAAACGATTCGATGATAATGACTGTAGTGATAAACAATGTGTTACCTGCGGAGTGAAGGCAAAGATTTTATCGTGTAAAGAGTACAATTTGCTTGTACTTAGAATACCAACATCTCTAGACTTTCGGCCAGATAATTCTAATTTTTTATTACGACCTGGGCAAACATATTATTATTAATTTTCATAATTTCTTTCACTGTTAATTTGTTTGCCAATATTTTACGAGTGACATATACATACCTAAATTTGTATATAAATGGCTGAGGACCTTGGCAGGCTGCACTTCCGTGGGTTCGACTTCAGTGATGGTTTGCACATGAATATCATGCTGTGCAATTTTGTCTCTGATCTCTACATTTTCAGCTAGAATAACAACTTGCACGACAACATCTGGCTTCTTCTCGCTACACAAACGGCGATTTAAAGGATCTAATTCTCCCACGGCTAAGAATCCCTAAAGCAAAGACGAAACTCTCCAATTAAGCCAAATGGATATTGTAAGTTGTAAAATATTTTCAAGACAAGTGAATTTACCTCTTGAAGTAATTTGCCTAAAATGTAGAGAGACTGGGCCCACATGAATGGACATCTACCCAGTGCCTCCCTTACCTGGCTTCCCGGTTCTGCATACTCAGCCGTAACATTTGCTGGTGATACTGCATAAAGTTCGGGCACGAGTCTTATACCATCGACGCTCTGGACCGTAACATTTTCTAGCATTGCTGTATAACGAATAACTGCTTCCTTGTTCCCTTGAAAGCAATAATCTAAAATTAAATAGCAAAAGAAAAGTGGCCATTCGCATTCAATATTCTCAAACATTCTTAATTCCCAAGGTTCGTAATACAATCTATAAATAGAATTGTACAATAGTTAATAAATACTTTTAGATTTAGATAGCTAGATAGTTAGATAGATAGATAGATAGCTAGAAAAATAATACCTATTAGGATCTTCTTTTGGAGTTTTGTAGCCATCTCTTAAAAATCTTTTACAGCCATATTTCCCTTGCAATTTTTTAATTATCGCATCGCGCGTTTGCTGAATTAAGTCCGGTTCATCAACTGCGAAAGCAGGAAAACTAATAATGGAAAGAAGACCACTGTCTAGCTCTTTAGAATTCGATTCTCTAGGAAGCATAGACTGCAGAACAGCTTGACATTTTTGTGCTTCATCGGCCAAAACATGAATAACCGATGTGGGGCCGCCTCTTGCGCCAAATAAATCCAATTCGTTCATAGCTTCTAAAGCGGCTTTCGCCATGCCAATACTACTTGCATTTAATTCAGGTAAACCATGATTTGTTTTATCTCCTCTTTCCCAGATTCCATAATCAGGTGTGCAGTACGCAGATTCAATATAAAATACTAAATTTTGTATAAAAGCTACCTGAAAAGAGTTTCCAAGTATTAATGAATTTTTTATTAAAATCTATGTATGTGTAATCCTATTGACAATAATTGCCTACTTCATCTAAATTGAATACAATTTGAAGACCAGACGCAGTCATTTGAGCTAAAATTAAAAGATACAGCGAAATAGAATCGATCTGCAAATGTCCCCACTCGTCATCCTTAACTACGGTTTGTCCAGTTGCAGAACTGTATTTAGCGTGTAAAGCATCCAGAGGATTTTGAGTGGATTTAAATTTTTCGACTTTGCCCTTCTGTTGCATCATTGCCATTAGAAGTCCTCTCATGAGCTTGACACAACTTTGCTCCAATTCATAAGTTTTTGCTCGATCTTCGTCTGCATCAGCTATTTTTTTATACGCCATCGATAAACCCCAAACAGCCAATATTGTATAGACATTGTCGCGAATCCAGGCGTGACTATTATCATGACTTGCAGGAAAGAGTCCAGTTATGGGATTTTGATGATCCATAATAATTTTGTGAACTACTCGTTGATAGTAGTCCAAACGAACACCAGAATTACTTCTAGTTCTCATTTTAATTCTTAAGTTTACAATTCTAAATCAAGAAATAAATTAAATTTTACACATTATGATTTGCCTATGATTACTATATCACTATATCAGTAGATTTTCAATGAGTCGTAAACCTCCATTATATAAACATTTTGTTAAATAATTTAATTTATAGGTTAAACACATACCTTCTAAAGAATATTAACAAAAATCAGTGCCCTCTTTACGTTAAGTTGAAAAAAATTATCAAACTATGCATTTCATAAATTATGTTCATTGATTTTTAATATTAGCTTACTCTAAGCTCATAAATCCATTTACTATTTTCATAAATTATATGATTAAGATTTATGCTTAATTGTAAATTTGATTAAAGCAATGTTACACGAATGTCAAACTAAAACATGAGGATGTAGAATACAATTGTGGAATTGTTTACACTCAGTCGGTAAACAAATAAAGAATCATTGAATCTTTTATTTCATATGTTTGCATTTTTAATGCTTTAATAATTTGTTTAATAAGCAATTCATTATCGATCGTTATCATACATCATCGAGTACGGCAATTTATCATTTTACTAATAAGTACTGTTATAGCAGATTGATTTAAATATTTATTTAAGCATTTTGGGACCACTGACGTCATTAATATGTCTGCTAAATCACCAGCCTCTTCGGTTTCCTATTGTATATTTTGTATTTATTATTTTTATTGGGAAAATCAAGTATTTTTTTAATACTTATAATGGAAGAAACATCGTATTTGATCTGTAATGAGATAAGAAGTTGATATGTTAATTCTTTTATTTGCTAATTGTGCATTTATGTGTTTATGCTGCATAACAAATTGACATAACCATAAATAATTTAATATTCTGTACTTAAATTTGAAAATATTTGTTACGAGAAATGTTGAAATTCTATTTAATTTTATTTAAGCTTGGCATTTTATTTAATTTGGTACTAAGTGTTGATATAAAAACTAAAGAAAAAGTTTATTATAAACATACAGAGTTAACAGCTGCTGTTGAGCCCGAAGCAGAATCGAAAGATGTAAGTTATTATTATATAATTCATCTTTTTTTCGATCTTTTATCTGTTAATCAATTTTAGGCTATACCTTATGTAATGGAAAGTCAACCACCGTCTTCTGAATCTATTAAACTTAATTCAGTTAAAATTAATTCAATACAAGAAATTAAGAAAAAAGAAGGTAAGACAAAACCAAGGAAAGGCGTTTCAAATAAATTAATGAGCGATGTTGAAAAAAGTAATATTACATTGTTAAATTCGATATTTGAAAGTTCTATGTTGAAAAAAATTAATAGTACAGATATTATTTCACAATCTTATAATCAAACATCTATAAATACATCTAAAATATTAACAAATAATGTAAAGTCAAACATAACGAATGTTGCACCTGTCAATGAAGTAGTGCAAGAACAGGAAGCAGCTGATCGTGTAATTAAAATAAAGACTGTTAGAAAACCAAAACCTAAACCAGAAGTAACGGTCGGTGAAAAGGAAGCTGACGAGCCAATACCTGCTTCTCCTACCATTAAAGCACCGCTTGGTATGCCGAGAAAAATTGATTATATCGTGCCTATTGCAATTACGGTTACAGCGTTACCTCTATTGGGTGCTGCATTTTATGTTTTATACAAAAGAGGAAGAGATTATTGGGATAAGAGACATTATAGAAGAATGGACTTTTTAATAGATGGAATGTATAATGAATAGATAGATTTTGATAAAAGAGATTATTTTTGTAAATAAATATACGTAAGCAATTTTTACATGATTTACATGCTCTAATGTGCGAGACAATTTATTTCTGATAAAATTCTGCTATTGCACATTAATCATGAGATTTTTTAAGTCTCGTACTTGTAAATATATTAATTTTCTAATTTATAAGGAACTGTTAATGATGTGTTTCAAGTATTTAAATCAAATTTCTTTAAAAGAATAAATTTTTTATGTAAAAGTATATAAGTCAGGAATAAAACTTGTTTGACATTGAAACATATGTCTATAAATATTGAGATTTATTTTTATACAATGATTAAAAGTAAATATAATGTGCATTTAATAGATTATATCCTAGTTTATCAATACTATTGTATGCCTTATAGAAATTAAAAATGTTATACGTATTAATAATGTGTTAAATAACTTAGAATTAATGAAAGGGAAGAAGACTTTATATTATTTTATTCAAATTAAGAATTGTATTTTAAAATAATTATATTACATTTATATATTATAAATTTGATTCTATCAAATTTTATGAATCTTGGGCGAACGGATTTTGTGAAAAATATGTTTGTTAAAGAAAAAATAAAAAATAGTAAATTAATTTAAATATGTTTTTCATTACAAATTGATTTGAAAAATTAATGGACACATTGTTTTTATAAATTTATGAATTTTTAAACGAAAATATATATTATAGGCCTACGACAACATATATTTTTTTCTTTCTTTTAAATATTCCAATACTGAAAAACGTTTATGTATTATGATTATTATTAACATCTAACTAATGTTTATATTTCTGTAAAGTGAATCTTATTGTACAAGCGTAAAGAAATATTTTATTTAATAAGCTTTGTAATTTATCAATCTCATAATTCATATAAATATAAATAAAGATAAATTTTCATAATTACATTGAAAATTAAATAAACGCGTAAATGTCAAACTCTTATAATTTGTAAAAGTTATATCATTTGAAAATATTTTTTACGTATATCTATATTTTATTTTTATTTTCTAATAAATACCTACATTATATATTGTTTATTTTATTTTTAAATATTATAAATAATTAAATTTCTGAAGACTTAAAAGGTGTGTATCACACATTCCTTTTTATTTAAAATATTTATTTATCATTGAATGCATTTATTCTATTACAAAGTCTACAAAATTTTTTGACTTTAGAAATTAATTTAATTTAATTTATTATAAAATATGATTCAATATATATAGTATCCAAAATTAGAAAAGGCTTTATTTTAACATTACAATGAAATCTGTAATAAATGTTTAAAAGACACGAATAAACATTAATTTACTTCGCTCTCAATCCAGTTAATTAATTATTGTCAAGATCATTCCAAATTATGTAATGTATAATATTTACTCTCTAAGATAATCTTTATATATATATATATATATATATATATATATATATATATCGAAAGACAAACAATCAGCTTAATTAATTTAATTTTAAAGCTTTATTTTCTTCTCTTATATACGACTTTATTTCATAGAAAAAAATTTACAATTTAATATATAAAGTATGGTCCCTTGTACGAATAGTCGTTTTAAAATGTGTGATTTAACATGTAAAATATGCTTTATACAAATACGTATATTTGAAATGCAGGTTTGTATAATATTATATAATATTATTATACGGTTTAATAAGGCTCACTGTTATAAAAAATATTGCGATTAAAAGAATAATAAAATCAAAATAAATTTTTTTAGTCATTTACTAAAAATCACTAAATTATTCTTTATGTTATCTTTAAATATTTATAGAAATTTAAGTATAAAATTAATGTCTAACATTTGAATATAAACATTTTATTGCATATTATAAAAATGATATTTATAAAGAGAATTTTATCTGCAAGTACACTTTATACGAATCAGTCTAAGCAGTGCAGAATAGACAATATAATTCTTATAAATACTTTTAAAAGCATAATCGAAATTTCAATATATATTTTCATTTATAGTTGATTGTACATATATTGGTATAGTGTTGATTGAATTTAAAAATTACTCCGTTATTATTGAATAGCTTAGACTAGTGTTATTATTTTTACAGATATGTATCAGTATATTTAATAAGAAAGTAAGTAATCGTCATTTACAAAAGTAAAAAAAATTGGTTGCTTTTACAAATAGATATAATTATTTATGCGGATATATATGTATATATATATATATATACGCATACATTTTATCGATTAGTCAAAATTTGAAATAGAAAATATTTTATGACTATAATATCTTGTCAAACAGTTTTTACTTTTCTTAATATTAAATTCATTGTACCGAAAAATTCATTAATTTTTCTATACATTTCATTATTCAACGTTAAAAGCAGAATAAATGGTTTAAGAAAAATTATTGTTTCTATGAAATCATTCATATGTATACGAAAGTATTAAAACTTAAAAGATTAAACTGAGTTTAAACGAAAAATATTTAAAATATAAGCAAAAATTGAATTCTCAAAAATATCATAATTATGAATAGATAAAATTTTAAACGTGCAGCCCTTTATGTGACAAAATACGTTAAAAGTTTTTTCTTAGTATCCATAATAAAAAAAAAAAGTATCATTAAGCAAATGATTTAAAATGTTTGCCGAGGTGATGCAACATTGATCCCTTTTTAATATAATGTTTATAAATACGTGCGTGTGTGTATGTGAGGACAAGCGTGCATACCATTATAAAAATATATCACAATTCAATTAATCAAAAGAAAACTTCGCAATTGACGCATCACCTAGAAAATTTAAAAAAAAATCATATTAAGTGTGTAATATGATGATGAAGAATAAAACGTGTTATTACGATGACGCAATTGGACTTTTATAGGATAATAAAGATAAACTGGCCGTGGTTCGTAAATTTGTCGTGTCCATTAATATTATGGCGCTCTTTATGGCGTAAGTTACGTTAAATATCGACTAAAGCAGGACAAACACTTTGTGCAACTGCTAGGAGCAGGAGCCGATAAATAAATTTGTCCTAGCTTAAGCGGTCAGTGCTTGCGGATGGTCTTGGCTGAGGCTCGGTCGTCCTCTTCAGGAAAGGTTTCGCGCGCTGGCATGAGGTTTAGCAGCATCACGTGACGCTCGTACGCCTTTGAATCCCTGAAGAGGTTGTCGGTGCCGTGGAGCCGGTCTAGTACCCCGAGGACGCCATAGCATTGGTTGAATCTGCTCGATCGTTCATGTATCAAATTTAAATCGTCGCTTCATCGAATTAAGAAATTCTAGCATGAGTGATACGAGAGAGGGGAGGTGAGAGAAAATCCGTCTGTAGATGATAGACGGAAATAGAACGATAGTCGAGAGGTTCTACAAATATTATGGTAGAAATATTGTTTGCTCTGTGCATTTAAAGTACCAGTTACCTTAACAGTATTGGAAAGAATTTGGCTAAAGGAAATATTCTGGCGTAATGAAACTTTGACATTGCAAGAGTCAATTCCTCTTGTCAAGTGATTAATTATTTCTTAATGCCAATGGTTATTATGATTTTGTTTTAAAATTTATATCTTAATGACACACTGCACTCGAATGAATCAGAACAAATATAAGAATGAATTTAATAAATTAATAAAGAACTAAATAAGCCAAATTAAAGAACGTTTGAATGATTTAAAGGTTAATCATAATGATTTTTAATTTTGTATTGCGTTGATACGTGTGTGAAAGAGTGGTCATCAATTAATTTTTAAAATGAAGTATTATATGTTAAAAAAAAATTCAATCGATTGTTATAAAATTCGGCAATTTGACAATGGTAATATATATATATAAAATTTGTATAAAATAAAAGATTAGTTGTAAAAGTTTATATAGTAGTACAATTTCTATAGTAAAATATGTATTTTTGTACTCCATAAAAGTTGCTATTTTCATAATTATTCACGGTAGTTTTCGATAGAACCTATTCCTAGGATTCAAAATATATATATTAATTTTATAAAATGATCCCACTCTGCGGTATACAAATCGCAACCTTAATTGGCTATAAAATAAAAATAAATTATGCTTATTCGTATAAGTTTAAAATTATAGTTAAAATAGGTTATAGCAAATGAAAATCTTTAACAATATATATATATATATATATATATATATATATATGCGTGTATTATTAGTATGCTTGTTAAAATTTTAAGGTGTTGGTAAGATATTTCTTATTATATGAGATTTTTTAATTATCATGCAAGTATGGTTTATTTGAATATTTTTGAAAAATTTAATGTATTTGAATTTGTATTATCAACTGTTGAAGAACGAGTTTATTGTTTTTAAAACGTGCAAGGAAAATCTCGTATGCGACTGTTAAATGTTTATTTATTTATTAATTTTTTTCATCAAAATAAACAATGAACAATAAAATATTATAAAGCCATAATGTTAACAATAATAAATCCGACAAATATTTATGTTGGGTAACTTGGGTAAATCGTTGTTCATTATGAAAGAACGAATAAAATGTTCCTATTCGCGTCGATATGGAAAATTTGGCTGAGAGTTAAAATTGGAGCAACGATACCTTCGCAAAGGCCGTCTTCTGTCTTACTTTCTTAGCAGACATCATGTTTACTAAATTAAAAAAAAAATGATTGGGATATCAATCATATATGAGATATACTCACTTGAGATGATGGAAATCGTGCGCCTCGGGTGACGGGAAAAACGGCATGTGATAGCCGGAGTGGGCGTTGAGGGTGGAGAGAATCGCGAGGGAGAACCAGAGCCAGGCGGTAACGACGTGCGAGCCGAGAAGGAAAACCCCGAGGAAGGGCGGTAGGAGATTGGAGCCAATGTGCTCGAGAGGGTGGCAGTATATGGCGGTGACGGCCACCGGGGCCGTCCACTGGTGGTGCTGCTTATGAATGTGTTTGTAGAGCCGGGGATTGTGGAGCAGTCGGTGAGAGTAGTAGAAGCCGAGCTCCTCGCAGATAACGTGGAAGCCGATCTCCGCGAGGAAACTGCGAAAACTTGGGAGCTCCTTTAAAGGCGGGAAGCCGCGCCATTGCATTAGTCGGTAAGCGCAGTGGGCAATGGGCAGACCGACGACGATCTGATTGAAGAGGACCTGGCCGATCACCCTCGCCAGGTCTCCTGCCTTCACGGGCTCGTTCGTGCCCGGCTGGGTTTTGTAGCGGCGCAAGTAACGCGGCCGATTGGTCGCGTCCAGGAGCGTGTACAAGCCTCCGAATATCCAGTAGACCAGGAACGTCAATAGGATCGAGCCTAGAAGCATTCGCTTAATCTCTGTTTACTTTAATTATTGCGCTGCTAATGAGAACAGCGGGTATCTTTCATTTGCTTAGGTTCACTTCGCTCTCGCTATTTTATATTGAGATTAGAAGAGC